GGGGGCATTTGTGTTTAACAAACACGTTCTTGTTTCAAATTAGTGTCTGTATTTAACACTATTATGTTGTGTTTTTTTAATCTAAAGCATAAAAGAAAAAAACCCTAAAGAATATTAGAATGGGTCTTTTATTTTACAAACTATGTAATAAAATCTAGAGGACTTATGTTTGAATGGCATCTTAATATCAACAGTAAAACCCGTAACGTTTCCGATTTGCTGGGCTGTAAAATGTTTTACCACAACATTTCTAAGGTCCTGTGCCGTGTAGACTGTTCATGTGGTCAATATTTGAGACTTATCCGTGAATGAAATGTTTCCCACATTTATCACAAACAATATCCGAGATGGAACCTTATCTGCAAAATATGAAAAATGACAACTGTAATTTTACTAATAAAAACAGAAATACAAAACCTCCTTCTAATATTTTAGACTTTTGTATCAAAACGCGACCTAATTGAATGATTTGGGTTTGGTAGGCCTTACGCGAAGTTATTGATGTCCTTTTTACAAGCCATGCCTTTTTGAAATTTATTTATCATATTATTGTAACCTATAAGCGGGTCGCAAATTACCTCCCTTTGAGTGACGTCAAATGAGGACTCCATCAAAATATGGCAAAGCTGTCATAAAAACTCGGAAACAGGGCTATTGGAAATTCTTGTAGGTAGTATTACGACTTATATCAATTGTTATGGCAGTACTCGATTGTTATCCAGAGTAATTTTATTTCGGTTTTATATGAAGTGTTGTTCGCCCCATATAATTTACGTCCCAAGACGATTCGTCAATTAAGCTGTATTAATTTTATATCTTAGTGATAGTAAAATTAAATGTGAATTAGTTTGAAAAATACATTAAATCCATTGCATTATCAAAACAAATATTGATTAAACTGTTTGAGGTTAAATAATAAAGATGAGTGTTGAATTTTTTAGGTTTAATTGCCGTGAATTTATAGGGATTAATAAGTCTATCCTGGTCCTGGCTGAAATTTAGAGTATTACAGCTGTAGCTTCTATACCATAGATTTAACATGGAAAGGACTGTTCTTGGGAAAATGCTAACGTAACTAACTGATGGGAGCAGTTTTTCTTACCAATCATAGGTCATACTTAAATAGCTTCTTTTTAAAAAGTTTTTGTTGTTTTGTGTACATAATTTACTGTCAATATGAAACTTCAGCTGTATCTTAATTTCTATGCTTTTTTATTATGTAAATCTTAGAAGATAAGCATTTTAAGATAAAACAAATCACTAAGTTGATTAATTATATATAATTTGAGATTGACCAAGTCAACTAGTAACACTGGCTGGGGCGACATCTCGGGATGTTTCTGCCAAAAAAATTGTCTCGGCCTTACGGCCTCGCCAGTTTTTAGCAGAAACACCCCTTGATGTCGCCCCAGCCAGTGTTATATCCTCGTAACTAACTCGTTTCATGTACTATAACTATTACTTAATTTCTATGCTTTTTTTATTATGTAAATCTTAGAAGATAAGCATTTTAAGATAAAACAAATCACTAAGTTGATTAATTATATATAATTTGAGATTGACCAAGTCAACTAGTAACTTCTTATTTTATTTGCAGAAGCAGTAGAAGTATTCAAAACACCATGATGAAACACTTAAGACATACCCAGAGAGCTCTAGAAAGAAGTACTAGTGGTAGATTGGAACAGATTGTAGCTTAATTGTTAAACTAAAAGGACTTCTTAAATCGTTTGAATTTAAGCTACACTTGAATTGTAGTTTTGAATAAAATAGCTGAAGTATTTAATAGTGCCTTGATTTTTTTGTTAAACTCTGTTACAGTACTTTGCTTTATATTAGAATTAAAGTATGTTGAAAAGACATTGAAACTTCAACGTTGTGCCAACGTTGAACTTCAACGTTTTTTAAACTTTCAAATTCGAACATAAATCTAACGTTATTTCAACGTTGAAATCTGACCATACTTCAACGTTGTTCACCGTTGATGTGCCTGCTGGGTTACTTCTATCATGGACCTATTGGCGGTATTTTTAACATTATTCAAAATTCTATGAAAGTTTGATGCTAAATGCATCAATCATGATTTTTTTCCAATCAATATCTAGGCTAGAACCTGCACACATAGAATATTGCGTGGGAGTTATCAACAATAAAAGTATGCGTGGGAGTTACCCAATTCATTTTTCTCTCGTGTAATGGAATAGAAAATGACCTGTCAACATTTAACATGCCTAATATTTACATTTTCAAGTAAAGAAATTCTATGAACATTTTCTCTTTGCTTACTCGATCATGTGTCGACGTAGTTTAATCAAATTCATAAAAAATACAAATTTTGCGTGAATGTTACCCGAAATATAATTGTTCACATTGAAAATTTCTGTTGAATTTTTGGGTGTTTGTAAAAGCTATGAGCACAGGGGTGGAAAATAAGGTATAGGCGGCAACAATTCTTTATTCCGCGTAGGGTGCAACATGTCTCGTATGTAAGTAAAAGGGATATACTAAAGAATTACCTGAAAAATACATGTGAAGTTTTTTTTTTAAGGCCGCCATATTGTCTGTACGCGTAACCGTAAAAGTCACGTGATTCCCTACCGTGGAAAAGTAAGCAAGCAATGCCGGAATATATATTAAAACTGTCTACAGTATTGAATAATTTAGTCTCAAAGAAAATTACATAATTATAAGTTTTACATACTAAGAAAATCAAACTATTTCTATAAATAGATAGATTTTCGAATTTTCACAATTTAAGGCTTCCGGAAGTAATCATACTTGATACCACTGACTTGAATTACAAAAATTACAGTCCGTGTTAAGTAATAGTTATAGGCACATTTCTGCCAACAGATAACCTGATAACAAACTAGTTAATTAAGAGGTTAACTAGTTACGTAACTAGTTAACCTCTTAATTAACTAGTTAGTTATCAAGTTAACTAGTTACGTAACTAGTTAATTTTTTCAATAAATAAAAGATCATAACGGGAAATAAATGCATGTTAGTGCCTGCAACTTCTATCTATGGTGGCATATTTCTGCCACCAGATAACCTGATAATTAACTAGTTAATTAAAAGGTTAACTAGTTGGGTTTTTGCGTAACTAGTTAACCTGATAACAAACTAGTTAATTAAGTGGTTAACTAGTTAAGTATTTATGTAACTAGTTAACCTATTAATTAACTAGTTAATTATCAGGTTAACTAGTTACGTAACTTGTTAATTTTTTCAATAAAGAAAAGATCATAACGGAAAATAAATGCATGTTTGTGCCCGCAACTGCCATCCCTTATTGTCAGCTTAATATTAAGAGGTTAACTAGTTACGTAACTAGTTAACCTGATAATTAACTAGTTAATTAATAGGTTAACTAGTTACATAAATACTTAACTAGTTAACCTCTTAATTAACTAGTTAATTATCAGGTTAACTAGTTACGCAAAAGCCTAACTAGTTAACCTGATAATTAACTAGTTAATTATCAGGTTAACTAGTTACGGGGTATTTCTGCTCAAAAATTGGCGAGGCAGTAAGGCCGTTAGATGTCGCCCAGCCAGTGTTATATCCTCGTAACTAACGAGTTTCATATACTATAACTGTTTTATCGCAATGGCATTGTGTTTTCTTTTAGTAATAAAAATAAATAAATTAATTAATTATTAATCGTTAGCTACATTTCATTTTCAAATTGTTTTCGCTGCCGCAAAATATAAGATATACAAAAGACGTCCAATGTTATATAATTAGAGGCTGATTGTAAACTGTTACCGATATTGATTCAAGATTAAACGGCTTTTTTTTCAGTGAAAGTAATGCATTCAGTGTATGTACCTTTTGATTAAATGAGAGTAAATTTCATTTCATTAATTATCTTTGTTTACTTTTCATTGTATTTATTATTTCATTTTATTGATTCCATTTTTTTGCTTCTGGGAATGGTCGTTACCACTGCCACATTGGAGCCATATACAAGGTGCGAAAAAACTCAACCGCTATATAGCAGTCGAGTTTTTTTTCCTATATGAATCAATGAAAAAACTGTACTGTTATATATCAATGCAGTCTTCAAATGCTCATTGAAGTGTACTGAGTATTATAGGTTAGTAAGAACAAAGGAAAAGTTCCAAACCATGCGATAATACTTCTTATCAACTTGAAACTAAGACATACTGTATATACTAAGAGTTTAATTTTGTGTACATCTTTTAAACGGTCACATTGCTTTAATTAATTTGTTGGTGACTACAGTTTGTCCGATACCGATTTTTAATACTTGTGCTGACAGTGCAGTGAAAAAAAGTTAATATCATATTAGCGAAGAGTTGCATTTTGCAAGATTTTTAATACTTATTTGATAGATGCAAACATCATTTAATAAACAGACAGTATGGTATTACATTTTCTCTAGAATACTGCTAGACTTTCCTCAACATATTTTTTTGTATTAATATTTCAAAGTTAAAATACGCATGCACAGATCGACCAAAGACTTGACAGCTGTAATAAGTAAGTCTTAATATCAATATACACCCCTATTAAATAAAATGTTAAAACATTGAAGTACAAAAATCCTTTGACAACGAGAATAGACACTATTTAAAGGTAGACTTTCTAATAAGATCTGGAAAGATGAATATCGATCGAGCAAGGAAAACAATGGCAAAAAGGTTGAAATTGAAGTAATCATTCGTCTTCACTTCTAGTAGTTAGACCAATGATCCCGAAATACTATACAAATATAACAACATTAATGATGGAGAACTGGACATTTTTACAGCTGTCACGTTGCCAAATATCCCCATAAATCCCCCCTCTGAATCAATTTCATTCAACAATCATTTGATCCTTTGCTTTGTTTCTCTAGGTCTTTCGTGCAGCAACCTCATGACGGAATTTTATTCTGTTTTTCGTTTCAAGAGAACAAGAGAAGGCTATCCAGCAATTTAAAATAGTTCGCAAAAAATAACTTTACTTATAGTGAATGCCTTTAAACGTGCAATATAAGTAAACTACTTGTGCATTCATGTATCAATGCACTGTTTTGTTCTGTGTTCTTTATATTCTAGTTGTTTCTTTGGTTACTTATAAGTTTCAGATTGAGTTTTTAAGATCGGTTGTAATTATATTCAAATATATTTTATACATTAATCAACAATGAATAAACATGTAGTATTTAAAAATATAACAAAAACATCATTAACTGTATATGATAACAAGGAAATTTGCATCAAATATTGACAGTGAGGATAAGATTACAAATTATTAAGAAAGCAAATAGTTTCAAATTCCATTGGTTTAAGATGACTGATGTAGTTAAAATAAATATAATTTCTTTACCTTTTTTCTTTGATTTCATTAAAGATGACAATATTTTCTATAACACTAATAATAAAATGTATTGTGCAATTAGGTAAGCTAATCTCAAACGACAAGTTTAGAGAACCTGCCATAGAGTCATATTTGGAGACATTAATTTGAGAACGTTTCTTTTTATTACGAAATTATGTTATAAGCATCTCCCGCAACTTCCGTTCCTTCGTTGTTCTTCATTGTAGTTTAATTAGATATTCATAAATTTCAGCGCGCAATAAATCCAGAATAAGTTCGCTTCAAGACTCGATCGCATTTTGGTTTGCCAGACATTCGAGTAAATATTACACCGGGATAAAGAGTAGAACTGGACTCTTTAAAAGTTGTATAGTTCACACTTCATGCGCCATATCATGGCTAAGATGAAGTATGTTTTGAAATTTGTTGCATTACTCGTCATTTTTGAAACAATTTCTTGCTCAGAAGAAAATGACAGAGTAATTCTCAGTCAAATGCAAGATTGGGGAAAAGAGATATTCAAAACATTGACAGGAAAGACTAAGTCTCACGATTATGGACAATACCTAGTCGCAGCATTACTGTCTGATGACGACTTAAATACACCACATAAAATGCCAGGCAGATTGCTGAAAGGATGTCCTCATGAAGGTCCAGATCACGATAAACAAATGATAATGTGCTCTACCAGTGCCGTATTTCTTGACAGAAAAAGCAAGGAAATTTGGGAGAATAGTCCTTGGAAAAATGTTGAAAAATGTAAAAAGCATAATTGGCATGGAGAATATATTTTGTTAAGAGAAGGCTTTATAGAGAAACTTGCGGCAAACTTTGGAACAGGAAAAACATGTCATTTGTACCTATACTCCTTGTTTATTCCATGTGCTGACATACAAGGTTGCCCATATTCTTGCTCCCAGATAATTGACGATTATAACAAGAGAGGTAATATAAAATGTAGAATAACTGTTATCGGTTATACAAGGGTATATGGTATGTCAAAAGAGCTAAGGACAAATGAGGAAAAAGCGGTAGAAAATATTAATTCATCTGGAGCTATATTATATAAAAATATCAAAGACTTGAAATTACCAGCTATAGAACATGTCAAGCAAATAAATCTACCTTTTCAAGAATTATTATTTTCTTGTATCGTTGAATCGCATTTATCTCGATGTTGTTTAAACAAGCCTGGAATTCCGTCGAGCAGTAAAGAGGAAATCATTGCGTATTACGTAAATAATATGGCATTCACAGCCATAGCAAAAATTAGATATAATAATCTAGAGAAACGTTATAAAAAATATTTGACTGAGTTTAATAAATGGATTGAAAATTCGATTTCACGTGAATGTAATTACTGCCCATTTGAATATTTCCATAAACTTGTCTTAAAGTTCTGCACCGGAGCGTCCATGCAATTAGCAAAAGGATTTGGGAATCCTACAACTGCGAGAGATTTGTCGCATGCGTCTTGGACTTTCAATGGAAATAGTTGGAAATCTATTTATCGTGTTACTCCCCAGGAATTTCGAAATACCAAGATGCTTTTGTGTGCGAAGAGACCTTTTACAGTCGATTCCCTATGTACGAAATACGAGATCCGTGGACAGGATGATTCTGACTCCGACACGGTTTCAATGAGACTTGACATGGATATTTTTGACTCCGACAAGGATTCTTTGGAACGAGACATGGATATTTCTGACTCCGACACGGTTCCTATGGAGCTTGACAGGAATGACTAACAACAGATGGAATAGCCATTATATATATATCGCAATAAACGCCATTTGCATAAGTTTTCATATATCTCAATATATCAAGACTTTTGGATTCTTTCATGTGAGGAAGCTATCCAGCTAGCTTACGGAGCGGCGGAGGTTCCACTAAGGTGACCATTCTTGCCTGAAATTTGCTTTTGATGTTGACAAAATTCAAGAAGTGATGTTCAAGATTACAGCGTCGATAACCGTTTTCTCCATAAATAATTACATAAACATAACACTATATATATCTATTGAAACAAATCCATTTTCAAATTATCGTAAAACAGTATGAAAAATACAATTTTTATATTATTAAAATGCAATGTTAAGAATGTTATGCAGATGTTGACTTATCTTGAATGTACTTCCATGTTTATTATAATTATATAATCATTCTATCTTCAGTACATTTTATTTTTCTTATTTATAATGTTTTCTTATAATGGGCGTTCTTTTCTTAGTATGACTATTGTAAATTGCAGATTGAAAAGATTATCTGAAGAAAGTAATTATGTTTAATGATACTTGCTGATGAATGTTAAGCATGTGTTTTTTAAAGCATATAATTATGTTTGTACTGTGATTACCATTTCAGGGCTAGCACTAGCACTTATTTTAGCTAATTTGTTCCACGCATGTGAGAGTATTACATTTTATTTAGTAAGACAATTGTACTGTAAAATAACCAAATGTAAATTTATTTTCTGTCAGTGCGCACATTAATTGTAATACAAAAGCAGCGCATAGGCGTAGCAGTGTACGCCCGAATGCAAATTTGTTTTACGTAAATAAAATTTAAAGTCATCAAGAATTATGTTTAAACAAAGAGGATACCCATTTATAACATTTTGTCCAAAACAGGTTTTATTTCAATTATCAATAAGATATTTATTGATATTGCCAAAAAACTATTCTTGCACATGAAAAGTACAGCTTTTCCCCTGTTGAGAAAAGACCCGAATGTACCATCTGCCTTAAAATTGGTGATTTTTTTTTTCTTAAAGGGGTTGGTGTGTTGGGAATTTTACTCCAGATCACGGATTGCTTAATTAATTCCCAAGCACAGTTCAGGGGAGCTGTCAAGCAGTTTACCCTTCTAGTTGCTTCCTTTTGCAAGGAAACCCATTATTTGTCATCCACAAGAGGGTATAAAGTGGGGAAAACTTCATACAATTAAATTTGGAAAAAAAATGCCCCATCTGGGAATCGAACTGGGCCCCATTTAAGTCCAACGGTAACAGAGGGTCTTTTCTCATGCTTTTACGATAATTTTTGACTGACAACAACATTAATGTTGCTTTTTAAATGATAAAAATTCAAAGAAGCATATAAATAATATTATACCAGAAATTCAAAAGCACAAAATATTATGCCTAACGTCGGATGAGTCGCCTTGTAAACAATATAGCTATCACTTAGGCATTTGCTTCTTAAATATAGGTTATTTATAAACACCACTCTTACAATGTACATGCACCTTGAACTTGAGTGGCATTTGAACCGATTGTAACAAGATTATATCAGGATTGCTGTAGTTTGAATAGTTTTTATTGTGTATGAGAATTGGCCCCGACAAAAATAAGTAAAATAATTAACAAAGGGCAATAACTCTAAAATCATGAAGTACAGATTCCGGTTTTTGTGCACTGCACTTCTTCTCAATGAGATCTATCATCCTACGAAGTTTCATGTCCATAGCTTTTATAGTTTAGGAGAAATGGCCCAGACAATAATAAAATATGAAAAACAAAGGGCAATAACTCAAAAATAAGAAGTGCAGAGTACTAATTTATGTGCACTGGTCTGCTTCTTAATGAGATCTATCATCCTTTGAAGTTTCAAGTCCATAGCTTTTTAATATAAATCCGTGGTTAAGGAGAAATGGCATGGACAAAAATGAAGTATGAAAATTAACAAAGAGCAATAACTCAAAAAATAAGTACAGAGTAATGATTCTTGTGCACTGCACTTCTTATTATTGAGATCTATCATCCTATAAACGAGGGGACATCTCAAAATGGCTAAAAAATCCCCATTTTGCCTCGATTTTTTCCATCAAAATTTATTTCAAAGTGCTGCAACTTCTCAAGGGAAAGGCTTTTCAGCGTTGGTTACACATTACCTTATGATTGACCTGGGGTCATTTTTAGCCTCTCACAAGTCCAAAATTTTCTTGGCGATGAGGGGGACTCCGCCCCCCCCCCTTCAAACCCCCCAAACAGAAGGGGGCATGTCCCCCTTCTGGCAACCCCTGATGTATCTTTTGGATGGGGGCGGCGCCGAAAAAGTGCTCACTTTTTTTAGCAACATTTCTCGAACGAAAGCATATGTTTGGGGCCCAAATAGGACATTTTTTCACTATTTCAGGCCTAAAAAGGGGGGGGGGGGGTTCGAAAGTGCGTTGTTTTGCGTATATATGAGGTATTTATAAATGGAAGTGCCTAGTCGTACGGGCCCGTACGGCTAGCCAAAAGTTCTAGCCGTACGTGAGTCACGTACGACTAGCCCTGGACACACTGTATTGGCTAGCCGTACGGCACTTTCAAAAATATATGGAAGGCGAAAATGCATATGTTAATTATGACTTTAAGCGAGTATTTTAGTCAAGAATGTTTACTTTTTAGAGATTAATCGACGTGTTGGCTACAGTTAAGAATTACGAGTAAGCTTGTCATCTCAATTTACTTCGAGAAAATAAGCGTTGGTTGCAGTTGAATAACATCATTTTCAAATAGTTTACAAAATTTTGATAATAATCCTTTTTTGTTTCATTAAGTTTAATTTTTAAATTGAAAAATAAAAAGAATACCGAAAAGGAAAAATAACTGTTGTTGCAAACTTTTCTTAATGATGGACGATTAACGACTTCTATAGAAGTTTGTCCATCGTCCATCATTAAGAAATTAGTTTGTTTTTTTTTCATTTATAAAATTTTTTAATTTAACATTTTTTATAATATCTTTTTATTTAATTTATTTATAACCCCAACGCTTATTTATTCGATCTTGAGATGCGAAGTAATTTAAATTTACCAATCAGTCTTATCATAAAAATAAAACATGAAAAATAACGGCTAAAGTCATAATACTTGCACTTTGCCTTAATTTTTTGTAAAATTATACATACAGTTTCCTGCGTATTCTATGCATGGCTAAATTTGGCGCGGAGGCACCCCTTTTATTAAAGTGGAAACACAGTACGAAAATGCAAGAGAGTTTTGAATTATAGAAATTTTGTTTAGACGATGAACATTAAACATAGAATTTTCATTAATATTTTTCAAAATGTCCCCTTTATAGCTAAGAACCAATACAGTGCTGTTCAAGGCACCACATCGTACGTTGCTACGTACGGCTAGAATATTGTGGCTGCCGTAGGTGCCTAGATAAAGTTATTGAGCGGAAACTTTTTTCAATTTTAAGGTAATAGTGACCTTTGACCTCAAAATCAATAGAGGTCTTTTATCCAATACTGACAATCATCCTATGAAGTTTGAATATTGTGGGCCAAATGGAACTTAAGTTATGCTCCAGAAACCACAATTTTCAGTGTGTCAGTGTGAATATCATTGTGACCCTGATCTTTGGCCTTATGACCCTAAAATCAATAGGGGTCAAGTATTGGACTTGGCTGTTCATCCGATAAAATTTTACAGCTGTAGGTTGATTAATACTTAAGTTATTGAGCATAAACTGTTTTCAGTTTTAAGGTTATAGTGACCTGGACCTTTGACCTTGTGACCCCAAAATCAATAGGATTCTTCTACCCAATATGGACAATCATCCTATGATGTTTGAATATTGTGAGCCGAATGGAACATAAGTTATGCTCCGGAAACTGTTTTCAGTTTCAAAGTAATAGTGAACTTCACCTTTGACCTTGTGACCCCAAAATCAATAGGGGTCTTCTACCCAATATGGACAATCATCCTATGAAGTTTGAATATTGTGGGCAAAATGGAACTTAAGTTAAGCTCTAACCCTAAAAATATAGTTTGATTTAAAAAACATATAAAGTAATAGATTTTGGAATATAAAGGGAGGTAATATATGGAGGCAACATATTAATAAATTCATTCATTGTAATCTCCCTTTGTAATGTATACACTTACATAAGGATTTTGAATAAGTCAGTGTGACCTTGACCTTAACCTGAGGTAGTCCAAAACTGCACTCAGCACATCATCTCAGTAATATAAATATATCTGCCAAATACACTGAATTTCATACAATCTGTTTAAAAGAAACAGAGCGGACACAAAATTTTGAATTTGATAAAAATGACCAAGTGTGACCTTCACCATCACCTGAGGAAGGTCAAACATGAATTCTGCACATTGTCTCATTAAGATTAACATTTCTGCCATGTAGTTTCAATTTCTTTCCACCTGTTCAAAAGATACAGACCTACATGAAAACTCCTATATAAGTCTATATAAATCAATTAAACCTCAGGGCAGGGTCAATTTGGATCTTAGGAAGTCCAAACTTGTGTTCTGCACACCGTCTAAATATAAGTACTATTTCTGCCAAGATGTTTTAATTTCTTTCTATCGGTTCCAAAGATACACAGCAGACACAAAATTTTGATATTGAAACATAATGACTAAGTGTGACTTTGACCTGAGAAAAGTTAAACCTGCGTTTTCACATCGCATCATTATGGTAAACATTTCTAGTTTCAATTTCCTTCCACCAGTTCAAAAAATACAGACAAGAAAGCCTGCTAACAGACGAACAGATGGACAACCAGGTGCACAACAATATTCACCGAAATTTGTTTGGGCTTATAAAAAGTAGTAAAAGCTCAATACTAGCTGTTTCAAGCAACCTTTACACCTCCATAAACTTATAATAGAAATCAAATTTTTGTCAATGGAAAATTGTTTATTATTTTTCATGAAAAACATGTGCATTTCTTCTGTGTATAGTATAAATATGAGTAAGTACAATTTACATAAAGGGAAGAAAAATGCGTATTGTATACCAGCACAGTCCTGTATATGGTCACAAATGTAGAGTCACAACTATAATGTAAAATAAATACTAAAATACAATGACGTACATGATAAAATGGTGTTTTGAGCATACATGTATTATGATTTTTATTGTATTTCAGGCTCTGGTAGATTTTACTGCAAGATCATACACCTGTTGCTATCACAATTCCGCCTTGCAAATTCCTCTTCGTCAGACACCAGTTCAAGGTCCAAATACTGGCTGCATAACACTTTTTGTATATTGTTAATATATTTTAATGTTAAAAATAATTACATGTATAATAAAATCAACATAGAGTTGCCCTTTATGTACAAATCAGCAGGTATACTGAGCTGCATACTTGTCTCCCTGAAGAAAAAAAATAAAACAAAAATATCATGCCAATTATTTTTTGCTCAGCATAAACTGGCTTAATCTGAACTATAAGCTAGTATAACCATTTACTTGTTGCATTTGTGTAATTCATTTGCCCTTCATTGAAATTAGAACAGTTCTTGTTTTAGTTTAGGGACCTTTCTGTTGAAAATGTGTCAGAATTAAATTGTATACAAATACATGCATAGTGCGTTAACTGGAGTGCAGGTATTAGTTACCCGCACTGCAGAGCATGCCAATTGATTGGTTCATTATGTCTGGGGTTTACATTTTGTGATGACAGAGAAAGAGAAAGCGATAGAAATATCATATTCAGATGCTCGTTCATTGGTTCCTTTTTTCTGGGGTTTCATACTGTGACATCAGGGGAACGTGTTTTTATTTTTGACTATGATACAAAAGAGAAAGAGCATCAAAACACGCCCCCTCGTACAAATCAGATATCCTCGTGTTTCAATGCACTTTCTATTACTTAACAAACATAAGTGAATTTAAACTAATGATGTAAAGAAGGTAATTATGTACCCATTAATACCCATGTGTATTTTATTCAAAAATACTTATTTATAATTCTAGTGATTTTTTTTTCCATCTTTCAGTATCTTTATTTACATATCTTACATAATGGCAATTGAACATTATTTTTCTAAAGAAAAGTAAAGTAAAGAAAAGTCAGCTGACCTTGGTCTGGCTGCATGGGTAGACTCTATTACCCCCCAGCAGGATAAAGTTTTTTTACTGGCTTATAAGCTGACCTTGACCTAGATATTGTACTTTCACAAATTGTTACGAAAATACCTACATATGTATTTCCTTATTTACTTGCAAATCAATTTCAACTGACACCTATAATCGAGGTTAGTATTTGGTAAAGAGGTGAAAAAGTTTTAAATAGACTAATTCCGGAATTAAGAATATTTGGGGTTTCCCAGCTAATCAGTAGGTACAAACAAATTTTTACAGTTACAGCTTCAAAAATAAGCGAAGCAGGTTGACTAATCTATTGTGACGGGTTGAGCACTGTGAAGCTATAATGGTAAAAGTTTATTTAGACTTACAGATTAACTGGGAAAACCAGAAAAACCCACATTTGCCGAGTTCAGGATAACGTGTGTTGTTTCTAAACATTCAACAATTTGTTTGTATTTTAGAATCACTCATCAGTTCTGATCAGTATGACTCTAACAGCAAAAAGTCACTCCACATTTGTATATGTATTGTAACAAGAAAATGTGAACAAAATGTCATATCTTGTTATAAAGAAACAAAGTCACAGTACAATTGGTAAAACGTTTAACACGATTATCTGGTCTCCGTTAAAATGGTTAGCATTTTTTCTAAAAGTGACACCCCTATTATATAGAACTAATCATATACTTACATGTCAGTTATTGTGCAACAATACCAAGGAGCTTGAGAGCAAATATAACATTGATCACGAGCATAGTTAGTAGTCCAATATAGCCGAACGCCCCAAATCTTCTTCTCTCCGGATCTAAGATAAACATATATAACATGATTTTAAATATACCATAAATGTGAAATTATCTCAACCAAAAATTATGAATGAAAAATATACAAAAATATGTTTGCATTTAAACTCTCTCTTGATTGGTCAACAATGGACACATTTTCCAGAATGTAGACTCTATTTCAAAAATTGATAAAAACAAAGAAATGTATCATTTGGATAATTCTTATAAAATATTACTTGAAAAAAATGTTGTAAAGTTCTAAGTGATATAGTACGTATCATTAAATTTTATATGATGAATAATAATATTTTGTTATTTTAACAAAATTTTAACATTTTATTATCTCTTATATACATGTAACATATTTGTAACACGAGATAATGTGTCTCACAATCTCATTAAAATCATATCCTAACTGTCACTCCACTACCCTACGCTCGCAGCGAAGAGTAACGGAGCGAAAACGTTGATCTGATTTTAATGAGATTGTGTGTCTCACACTTGCCAACAACATCCATATATAATTATTTCATGGATTGTTTATATATTATATTGAATTTGTATATTAATTAATACTATCAACATTTTAACAGCATGTCCATTCATGCACAATCCTGCGTATTTCACACACAAAAAAACAATGGGTACGCAACTTTTCCAAAGCCCATGTTTGCAAGTACGCACAGTTATCAAACCCAATGTGTGCAAGTATGCACAGTTATTACCGCAAAATTAGCAATAAAATAGTGGCCAGAAACCTATATGAAAATCAGCAAAATATAGCGGCCAGTAACTGAAAATGCTTGGAAAATCCCACAAGCACCAGCAGTTTTACTTCACTGAAAATGTCAATTTTTTATCTAGTTTAATAGAAACCTTCCATTATAGACCACTAAACTTTAACTATAAGAATAAGATACATGTATCATGATTGTATTGATTAAACCCATTCACTTTCTGGCATCTACAAAATCAACCCATGTAACCAGTGCAGATCAAGATCAGCCGGCATATTTGTGTCATCTATTCATGGTCTGCACTGGTGACTATTCATTCAGTCAGTTCATATTTTGATATTTTTTTCTTAAAAATGATGAATGGTGTTGTCCATATTGAAAGATGGACAAATCAATTAAAGAAATTTAGCATATAAAGCGATAGATACTTGAATAAGTTTTCCTCATTTATAGCTATAACCCATAAACAATTATTACAATGTAAACTATGGGAGTAAGTATTTTTATTTACTGTTACAAGTGGTAATTTTCAATTTATAAGTTAACTAATCTATAAGAGATAAAAAAAAATGCTTTGAACTTCTTCTTTTTTCTTCCCACATCAGACCCAAGGGCACATGTTATAAATAGGTACTTGAAATTTAGTAATTATATTAAATTGTTAAACAAGTTAGTGGCTGTAACAATGACACACAGTTATAAATGTTTTACTCAATATAATCAAAATACTCACTATAGCATTGTGCACTGAAATAAAACGACTCCAAAGTATACTTAACCCTTAACAAGCAGGACCTGTTAAGTGTTAAGCCAGGCCCATCATTTAAGTGCCAGACTAGTCTTTTTCTATGTTTTGAAATTGAAATCACTTAAATTTAGAATGGACTGTTCCAAATTTAAAGCTAAGCAAATACATAATAAGCAGGTGAAATGTTAGTTTTTATGTAAATACACAAAAATGCACAACTTAAGAATGAAAAAAAAAAATTATTTTTTCCCGACTTTGATACTCACCCCCAGTGTAGTATCCTAAAGCATAGACAACCCTAGAGGCAATCCAAAGTGCACCGGATGCAGCACTCAATTTCTGATAAAAAGGAGAAAAAAACAGATATTATATATAAAATAATTTGTAACTGTCACTTCTTGAATTTCATGTTGTTTCTTGCTTTCAATGTCAAATTAATTCTTTATATTTCTTAAATATAAAATGTACATATATATATGATTGACCATGTTTGGTTGTAAAATCAATGGCTGACTTATTAGGTGTGATGTCATTTTTAATAACAAGAGAGTCATGATGGTACAATATCGTTCACCTGAGAGCCATTGCTAGAATAGGTCATAAATTTTTCAAAGCAGAAGTAGGTCCTTTTGTCTCATTCAAAGTAATCCAAGGTAAAATTTTATTTTTCACGACTTACCCGGTAAGATTAGAGTCTAAAACAAAACCAAATTAAATATTTTAAAGGCCCATTATGCCCAAAAAATGATTTGTTACTTTAAAAGATGTCCAGTTATAGTTTCCAAAAAGTTACTTGTTGGCCAATTACCTCGACCATCCTTTTGCTTCTGTTGAATTTTGGTAATAAGACATTTATAGAAATTTAGTATCTTATAATTATGGAAGTCAAAATACTTTTTTTGTTTACGTTTGGCTACTTTTTTGACAAATTACCACAATCAGTGCTACTTTCTTCAGGTGATAATCAGTGCTACTTTCTTCAGCTAAAAACCACACAATTTGATAAACAAAACTAGTCGCGTGTGACTTTTTACATCTGGGCCGCTTAAGACTTTTAAGTGTACTAGTTGTCGGATATTTTTATCTTAAATTGGCTACAATAAAATTCGCCAATTAAAGATTTTTTGCAAATTTGTATAAAATTAGAAGGCAATTAATCAAAAGTTATTATTCTTATAAAATATTGGTTTTCCAAAAATCGTACCACATTACGAAATTTATTTTTTCATATTGCAATATATCGGTATACCGGTAAACCATGACACCCTTACTAGATCACAGATAACCATTTTGATCCTAAATGATGTCAAAAATCAAATGAGCCACGCCATGACAAAACCAACATAATGCGTTTGCGCTCATCATGGATCAAGACCAGCCTGCGCATCAGCACAGTCTGATCAGGATCCATGCTGTTCGCTATCAGTTTATCTACTTGTAAAAGGGTTGGTAAGCGAACAGCATGGATCCTGATCAGACTGCGCCGATGCGCAGGCTGGTCTGGATCCATTCTGGTTGCAAACGCACTATGTTGGTTTTGTCATGGCGCAGCTAAAATGTATAAAAGAAACTGTAAATATATACATAGGTCTCAGACTACGACTGTAACCATAACACATGACTTTGTTCAAACCTTGTACATGTATAAACTAAAATCTGTACTTACTGGATATAAAATGCCACCAAGAAATAGAAGCACTAAAAACATAGGATAACCCTCTAATCTGAAAGTATAAAACATGAACAATTATAATAGATGCTATTTTACTATTTACTAAAGAAGTGGTGCAAAAAAAACAGTACCATCATGCTAAATTTTGTATTGCAATATATTCCTGATGAGGGATGTTCTTCAACCCAAAACTAAATAGTAGCATAATAAAATACAGTTAAAACTTGACCCAGTGCTGATGCTGGTTCCTCGTGTTTGTAATAATAAAAGATATTAATCAGAACTTGTTTCCATTAAATCCAGGGGTACATATTATATCTTCATGAATTACTACTGTTTACAATAGCGATCAATGTGCTGAGCTAAGCCGCTTTATTTCAATATATTTTTACAATTTATTAAAGCAACACCATGAAGTTTTAACTGTAATTTAAGTTTTGTTTGTACCCTACTCCAAAACTCCAATGAGACACTGAAAAATTCGAAAATTTGCTTAATTCCGGAATAACTCTTTCCTATTTGATAATACAATGTACATGTAATAATCTATTAATTCATACATATATAATGTTATCAGCCTTATAAACCTTAAACCTTCTGTATTTCTGTTAGAGGGACCATTGTTGCCTTGTTATTTAACTTTTGTAAGTTTACAGAATTTCAATATCAAAATGCCTAAAATGAGTAATAAATGTATTATATAGTCGATAAAGTACTCGTATAATTATAACAAGAGCGATCAGTGATCACATGTGTCGCCTCATGATGGCCAATTTCATGTTGGGACAAGTTTTGTGACACTGACAGACGGACAGACAGATGGACAGTGCACAACTAGACTTGATACTGATCATTCCTGTAAAGTTTGGATAAAATTGCACCAGTAGTTTATGAGGAGTAGTCCGGACAAGCTATTGTGTATCTGGCAACACACAGAAAAAAAGAAGTAGTCCGGACAAACTTTAAAAATAACAAGCATTTGATAGTATTGCGGGCAATACAGTAGTCCCCTACCGGTCCCTCAAAAAGTTCTTTAATTGTCATACACTCCTGTGTATTGCCATTTATAATGAATTTGAGGATGAAGTCTGTATTTGAAAATATCGACCACAAAACATAATAAAATAAGTTTGTTTATATCACAGTAATGTGTTAAGTTTCCATGCTTAGTAAGGAAATTATGTTTATACAACCTTGTCATATTATTACGATGTGGGATTTTAAAGTAAATCCTATAAGGAATGAAGAAGTTGGAGTGAAAATACCAGTTTCTCGAAAAAAATCTAAGTTCAAGGGGGACATAATTCTGGAAATAGTCTTGCTAGAGTATTTAACCTTCTCAAAAATGTCGAGTGATAATAAGAAACATATATATGAAGTTTGAAGTAGATACATTAGGAAATAAAGAAGTTATTTAAAAAAGACAACATTTTTTCCCCTTAAAAATCTAAGTTCAAGGGAGGTAATATTAATATTTTTTGTGCTAGAGTTATAAACCTTGTCACATATGATGTGGTTGATGACCAGGAACTTATATTTAAAGTTTGAAGTAAACACCTTAAGAAATAAAGAACATATAGTGAAAAAGCTGAAAAATTTAAATCAGAAATCTTGAAATTCAGGCTATTTGTTGCCATAGCAACCAGAATTTTCAACATAGGAAGAAAATAAAAAGATGTGCATAATCTCCAGACTGCCATCTACCCATATTTCAAGTTTCATAAAATATTTTCAGTACTTTTTGAGTTATCATTGGATCCAGTTTATGTGTTAAATTTGCCATATTTTCAGACTATTTGTTGCCATAGCAACCAGAATTTTCAACATAGGAAGAAAAAAAAAGACGTGCATAATCTCCATACTGCCATCTATCCATATATCAAGTTTCATAAAAATATTTTCAGTACTTTTTGCGTTATCGCGGGATCCAGTTTTGTGGACGGACGGACTGACGGACTGACAGACTGACAGACAGACAGACAGACGGACAGACAGACGGACAGACAGACAGACGGACAGACGGACGGAGGGTAAACCTAAAGTCCCCTCCGGTTAAACCGGTAGGGGACTAAAAATTATTAAAGGGCCATAACTCTGACAAAAATTATTGAACCGGAAAATGCTGACAATATGCACAACTAAACTTGGTACTGATCATTCCTGTAGAGTTTGGACGAAATTGAACCAGTAGTTTATGAAGAGTAGTCCGGACAAGCTTTTGTGTATCTGGCAACACACAGAAAAAAACACCTTTTTATCAAAGGGCCATAACTCGGCCAAAAATCATTCAACCGGAAAACCCGTGCAATATGCGCAAGGACTTGAGCTACAGATCAATCCTGTAAAGTTTCATTGAAATTGCATTAGTGGAATATTAGAGAAGTAGTCCGGACAAACTTTAAAAATAAAAATAAATTAAAGGGCAATAACTCTGACAAAAATCATTGAACTGGAAAATTCTGACAATATGCACAACTAGACTTGGTACTGATCATTCCTGTAAAGTTTGGATGAAATTGCACCAGTAGTTTATTAGGAGTAGTCCTGACAAGTTTTGTGACGGACAGACAGACGTACCAACTTTTTATATTTAAGAGGCAAATCAGCTCATAAACTACACCTGGGCGTAAGTCCATAAGCTGAATTTAGCTCATAAAAACAAAAAATAGCTCTTAATTTGAATTTTATAAGTTTTTGTTCTTTTTTTAACTACTGAATGAAGCTCATAAATATCAAATGTTTGCTCGGACGGACAGACAGACAGACAGACAGACAGGCGACGGAGAAGTGATCCCTATATGTCCCCACTACTCCGTAGAGGCGACATAAAAATGGGTAAAAATTTTGTCCAAGAGCTACATGTACAGCTTAAGAAGGTTAATTGGATATACATCCAGCTTCCATTTTTTGGAAAAGTCAATTAACATTTTTGGGGGAGATCAAGAAGAATATTTTGAATTTATAGACCCAACAAAATAGACCTTGTCAAGACTTCCTGGATGTACATGTACAGGCTCGCAAGGATCAAAACTGGTGGCAAAGGTTAATTATAAAATGAATGCAATATCTCTTTCTGTTACCAACAAGGCAAGAGATAAACTTAACTGGTATTGTAACATTTTAAGGCATACAAACCCTGTTGGCGAAAAACATGCTCACCTTTAAGAGTGGTTTGTGTAATTAACTAATTATATATGGGAAACATTCCTATATGTTAATTCACCAATTTTAGTTTTTGCATATTATTATGCTCATTATCAGTAATAAATGACATTTTACCAATGTCGTTAGAGTATTACTTAAAAGTACAATGCTTACGTGTTTTGATGAGCTCTTTGTATACAGTTGAAAACGTGAGAATATGGCTCCGTGTACATCTTTGGATACTGAAAAATAAAATTGACAAACCAATTATTTACTTTCGCTATAAAAAAATGCATATAGATAGCCTCAATAATGTAGAATTCAAAAGGGGCCATAATTCTGTCAAAATCCATGTTAGAATTATGCGCCTTGAACATAACTGAAAACCAATTATTAACTTTCGCTATAAATAATGCATAGAGATAGCCTGGAAAATCTGATATTACATAGATGTTGGTCTTTGTCTATATACATGTAATAACAAGAATTTGTAACAGAGTTACCAACGTCCCCCGCCCCGGAAGTTTTATATGAAGCATAAAATTGTGCTATTTCAAAAGATTGAGGTATGGATCTCAGGACATTCAGTCCAAAATTATGATAAATGCTAGATCTGCAAATGTAACAATAAATTTGTTAAAAAAATAAAATGAAACACGGAATTTAAAAATCTATCATGTTAAGCTTTGACCTCTAAGTGTGACCTTGACCTTGGAGGTAGGGGAGCAGTTGTTGTGCATGACATAACGTCTTATTATTGAGACTTTTTGTGCCAAGTATTTTCAAAATCCCTTGAACTATGAAGAAGTTATAGATTGGACACAAAATATACCCTATAACAGACTATGTAAATCTTTGACCTCTAAGTGTGACCTTGACCTTGGAGGTAGGGACACAGATTTACGCATGACATATCATCTAATCATTGTGACTATTTGTGCCAAGTATTTTCAAAATCCCTTAATCTATGGAGAAGTAATGGACGGGACAAAAAATATACCAAATAACAGACATTGTTAACCTTTGACCTCTAAGTGTGACCTTGACCTTAAGAGGTAGGGGTGCAGGTGTTGTACCTGACATATCGGCTTATTATTGTGACTATTTGTGCCAAGTTATTTCAAAATCCCTTGAACTATGAAGAAGTTCTAGATTCGACACAAAATATACCCTATAACAGACTATGTTAATTTTTGACCTCTAAGTGTGACCTTGACCTTCGAGGTAGGGATGCAGGTGTTGTGCATGACACATCCTCTTATTATAGTGACAATTTGTGCGAAGTATTTTCAAAATCCTTTGATCTATGAAAAAGTTATAGACCGGACACAAAATATACCCTGTAACTATGTGACTATGTAAGTATTTGACCTCCAAGTGTGACCTTGACCTTGGAGGTAGGTGACCGGTTTGTGCGCATGACACATCATCTGATTATTGTGAACAATTATAGCAAGTATTTACAAAAGTCCTTCATAGATAAGAAAGTTATGGACCGGACACGACATATACCCTCAAATAGACAATGCTGCCCTTGAATGAGCAAGTACAGCCTTGATCCTGAAGGTACGGGTCTGGTTGTTGCGCATGACACATCGTCTTATTATAACAAACATTTGTGCCAAGTTATCTCAACTTCCTTTGATAAATGACAAAGTTATGGACCGGACACCAAATATACCCTGTAACAGACTATGTTAATATTTGACCTCCAAGTGTGACCTTGACCTTGAAGGTAGGTGACTGGTTTTTGCGCATGACACATCGTCTGATTATTGTGAACAATTATGGCAAGTATTTACAAAATCCCTTCATAGATAAGAAAGTTATGGACCGGACACGACATATACCCTCAAATAGGCAATGTTGACCTTGAATGAGCAAGTGTGACCTTGACCCTGAAGGTAGGGGTCTGGTTGTTGCGCATGACACATCGTCTTATTAAAATAAACATTTGTGCCAAGTTATTTCAAATTCCTTTCATAAATGATAAAGTTATGGACCGGACACGAAAGTGTGACGGACGGACAGACGGACAGACAGACGGACCGATGGACGGACCCTATTTCTATATCCCCCTTTTTTCTTCGAAAAGGCGGGGGACAAAAAGACCTGGTGCACAATCTCCTGGACTACATGATATGCCAAGTATGATTGATGTACCAACTGATTTACCAATCTATCATGCAAATCTTTAAAAACCCTGTCTATTTCTTAAAAAATTATGTAGTGTTAATTGTGGCATCTACACTTTAATACTACAGAAAACATTTGAGCCGTGTCACGACAAAACCAACATAGTGCGTTTGCGACCAGCATGGATCCAGACCAGCCTGCGCATTCGCACAGTCTGTTCAGGATCCATACTGTTCGCTATCAGTTTTTCTACTTGTAATAGAGTTGGTAAGCGAACAGCATGGATCCTGATCAGACTGCGCGGAGGTGCAGGCTGGTTTGTATCTATGCTGGTCGCAAACCCATTATGTTGGTTTTGTCATGACGCGGCTCATTTTGAGAAGAATCCTGAGGTCAAATATGTTGCTCTAATGGATATACAAAGTGGTGCATCTAAGGCCTGAAAGTTTCGAAGTTGAAGTGGGTAAAGCAGAAAAATCTCTCGCAGTGATTTTAGTTGATCCAGTTCTTGTCCATAAAACACATCCAGTCTCTGCCCATAAAAACACTACTGCGAGTTTTTAAATGCCGAGTATTACAAAATTATTCTATGTGCAGGTGCCAAAACGTTTTTTTTTTCAAAGCAACAAAAAAATTACAGATACATGTCATCGGTGAAATATTTAATACACAAACTTGTGCAGCATGTTCTTATCGCATGGTACGCTAGACCAAATAATTAGACGTAAACCGCAGATTTGAAGCTATTTTTTACATTGCCATCAATGCTCAAATCCACATTTTCTGATAAACGTAAAACTATAAAAAAAAAAAAAAGAAACTGCGGAGTCTTTCAATGAAGGACTAATGGTACCTTTATCACTTTGCCAAACAAATTGTGCTCAAGGGCTTTTTATGTACACAATGGTCGCCCTTATGTAAAGACTGATATCTATGCAATATCAGTTTGTAAAATTAGTCGGTCTTGCAGTCGAAATATTGAGACTACCTAGACCTGTTCAACAGAATGCGAATGATAGATTTTCTATGACAAATTACCTTGACTTCATATTTCTTACGAGCCATTCCAACACGAATGCCCAACCACTGAAGCAAGAAAATTGAGGCAATGAAGACAAGAATCACATAGCCATATTCTGGCTGAAGTTGCAAAGCTAATGCGGCCATAATTACTCTAAAAACGCAGGAAAGGTAAAACTGGCACGCCTTACGACAACAGGTAATTATCTAGGACATGAAATTAGTCCCGGATCAAATTAACGAGATAAAAAGCACATATTCACTTACAGGAACTTCATATCTTCTTCTGGCCTGGAAAGTTCTAGACTCAAGCCAGTTTAACAGAAACCAAGATGAACAAAATACTAAAATAACGTAGCCGTAATCGCCTGAGATTGTCACACTCATATCCATCTTTGCAAGTTGTTTTTTTGTTTACTTTCACTTGTATCCCATCACCGTTTCTGGTTCCCAACAATCTGCTTTTAATTTTAACTTCTCTCATAGGAAACCGGAAACAAGAAAATCTGTGTACCTAAAGCGCGAAATTTAACAAATTAGTGGAAAAAACGTATTATAATTTGAGAAAAGTAAAAGTGTTGTTGATAACAGACGGTTCTTAGTTGAAAGACAAATAGTGTAAGATTTCAAACTGACATATGGAACCTTCAGAATGGAAGAGACCGTCAGATGTTATGAAAATTCACAGAAGACGGAAATCTGTGTCACAGAAACGCATCACATCAGACCCAGACAAACGTACCAGTATTATCTACAAATCACCTTCAAAATCTGTGAAAAGAAAGAACCCTTTTCACCAGGATAGCCCACATCCATTTCCTTCAAAAAGACAACATGTTGACTTCAAAGAAAATAAAGAACAGGGACAAGATCCCTTGAATTGCCAGTTGTTCACATTACTTGATACAGCAAATGGGGTAGGAAATTATATATAGTAATCTATCAGTTTCATAAAGAATATTTTCAAATATGGCCTGCCTTTCCAAGGATTTTAAAAGTTCAGGCAACAGTGGTAGAATTAACATCTTCTTCTTCTTCTTCTTCTTCCAATATAGTACAGACACCTTCCGGCGTATACTCGTACTAGCGCAGCGCGGTGTGAGAGTGTCTATGTACAAGAGTGATTTAAAAAAAGTACTATGTATAGTGCTGGTAAAAAGGTAAAAACACCGGACTGTCTATCGGAGAGTGAGTGGGAGTACTTCCCTCTTGAAGCTGTCTATGGTTGTACAGCTTACAACTGTCTGGGGAAGACTGTTCCAGAGGCGGATGGTGTCTGGGAAGAAGGATCGCTGGTAGCACTGGGTCCTTGCAAATGGTACCAGGTAGTGAAGTCCATGTCCTCGAACAGAGATGACTGGGGTGAGGTTGGATGTAGGACTTCTACTAGGCCATTTACTATACGGTACATCATGGTCACCTTGGCATGGGCTCTGCGTTCTCGGAGGGTAGGCCACTGTAGGTGTTGCAGCATCGATGTCACACTGCTGGTTCTTCTGTAGTCTGAGAAGACCATTCTTGCTGCTCGGCGCTGCACCATCTCCAGTTTCCAGATATTTGCCTCAGTGAAAGGGTCCCAGATGATAGAGGAGTATTCCACCAGAGGTCTCACGAGGGTCATATAGCAGAGCTCTTTGGTCCTTCTTGGGCATTGATTGATGTTTCTCTGTAGAAAGGATGTGGCATTGTTGGCTTTCTTTGTAGTTAGATCAATGTGATGGTTCCAGTTTAGTGACTTTTGGAAGTTGAGGCCTAAATATTTTGCTGTATCTACTTCTTCTAAGATGTGTCCATGGATGTTATATGGTTGTCTGATTGGTTTTCTCTTGTTTGTTATGTGGAGTATCTGGCATTTTTGAGGGTGGAATTCCATCAACCAATCCCTTTCCCATCTTTGTAGTCCATCTAGGTCCTTTTGTAGGGCTATAGCATCTTGGTCTGAGTGGATAGAGCGGTAAAGGGCACAGTCGTCAGCAAACATTCTAGTGGTCGATTCAGGTGATACATAGTTGGGTAGATCATTAATGAAGATGAGAAATAAGAGAGGTCCTAGAACACTGCCTTGTGGGACACCTGACTGGACAGGTGCTTCACCTGATTTGCTGCCGTCTAGTAACACTCTCTGGCTCCGATCCCCTAGGAAGCTGTTTATCCACTTTAGTAGGTCGTTTCGTATACCATAGAATTGAAGTTTTGTAAGTAATCGGTGGTGTGGGACCTTGTCGAAAGCTTTGGAAAAATCTAGTAAAATGACATCAGTCTGACCAGCAGAGTCCATATTGCAAGCAAGGTCCTGGACTGTCAGTAAAAGTTGAGTCTCACAGGATCTGCGTTTACGAAATCCATGCTGGGCATCTGTAAGTATGTTGTAGGTGTCAAGGTGTTTCATAATGGTGCTTGTAACGATGTGCTCAAGTGCCTTACATGCTATGGAAGTAAGAGAGACAGGTCTGTAGTTCTCTGCTTTACTGCGGTCGCCCTTCTTGAAAATTGGTACCACGTTGGCAGTTTTCCAGTCGTCAGGGATGATTCCTTGGTCCACAGATGCCTGGAAGAACAGTGTAAATACAGGAGTAAGTTCTGTAGCTGCTTCCTTTAGAAGTCTTGCTGGGAGTTGATCTGGACCTGTAGCCTTGTGTGGATTAAGTCCTGCAAAGATCTTCTGTACTCCGCTCTCTGTGATTGTAATATGTTCAACCGGATCATGTGGGCTTGGTCCCATATCAGGAATAGTTGAGATGTCTTCATCCTTGTTGAAAACTGAAGAGAACTGCTCATTCAGGATATTGGCCTTTGTGTCGCTGTCGGAGTGAGTCATGCCCGTTTTGCTTTCAGTGGTGCTACTCCCTGACTATCTGTTTTCTTGCTTTTAATGAAACTGTAGAACCTTTTGGGATTAGAGGCAGACTCTGGACTGACAATATTGTTGACATACTCATTGTAGGCTTCTTGACATGCCAGTTTGGATTTTTTCTTGAGATCTTCATATCGTTTTATGCTTTTATGAGACTTGGTTGATTTTGCATGGGCATATGCTCTCTTTTTCCTTCGACTCAACTGTTTGATGTCTTTGTTTATCCATGGCTGGCTAAATCTAGAGCTGCTCATCTTGGATGGCACACAGGAGTCAAGGACTTTCAGGAGATTGTCTTTTATGTCTGCCCACATAGTGTTGATATGGCTAATTGTTGTGTAAGTTTCTTTAAAGTGTTGTTGAAATTGGTGACATTTGCTTTTCAGTTGGTCTATATCTGCATTTTTCCATAGATGTATAAGTCTTTTGACTGGTTTTGATCTTTTAGCCGATGCACTGGATTCAATGAAGACTATGTCATGGTCACCTAGTCCTTGCAGAGTTGTACTGCGTGTTGTAAGAGTAGGACGATTTGTGAGGAAAACATCCTGAATGTTGTCTTTTCTTGTTGGCTGAGTGACCATCTGGTGAAGATTGCAGTATTCAACAACTTCCAGAATCTTTTTGTTGATCCTGTTGGAATTCTGGTTACCTTCTACTGTGTTATGGTCCAGTTAATGTGAGGTAGGTTTAGGTCTCCACCTATCCATATTACTGCATTTTTGTAACAATTTTTTATGTTTTCTATTGTGGAAAATAGATATTCAGTATACGTTTCATCTCTGTTGGGTGGTCTGTAGATGGAACCAATGATGAGAGTTTTGTTTTTATCAAGACTGACTGTAGCAAACACTTGCTCTGTGTTTGGTCCTGTGTCCAGCTTTTCATAGATAAGGTCGTTTTTCAAACCAAGAAGGACACCGCCGTACCCATCTTTCCTGTCTTTTCTGAGAATGTCATAGTTTGGTGGGAATATTTCAGAAGAGTGAATGTTAGGATTCATCCAAGTTTCAGATCCCATGATGATACTGGGGTCAGCAGACTCTAAGAGGTTGCAGATTTCAGCTTTCTTGTTCTTGCAGCTTTGGAAGTTGATGACCAGTGTTCTCAAACTGCGAAATGACGGGGTTGATTTTTTCTTGTGTGAAGTTTTAGGAGAAGAACTGGAGATAGGGGGGCCAGGACTTGAAGAGCATGTAGTGGTTGATGAGTCAAGTGCATTGAAAGAGTTACTAGTTGTATCAGTAATAAATGATTCAAATAAACTTGTAGAGAAATTCGGCATGCCACAATTATCACAGTGCCATGAAATATTACTGTGGTTGCATAAGGTGTCATAGATAATTGAGTTCATTTGCATACACTGGGCATGGTACCACTGTTGACAGTCGTCGCAGGCTACGCCCTTTTGTTTCCATGTGACAGCCTTATTGCAAATCTGGCAGGGGTACTTCGGTTGACGGGGTCCTGGGTTGAGCTCAACATCTGACGAAGTAGCTATCAGCAGCAAGGATATGTAGAGAAGGGTATGCATTTTCCCTCTGCGTATGCATGGATATAGTGACAGCGAGCTAAGGTGTCTGGTTACAATAAAGTATTGCACATCCTTTGTTTGGTAATTTATATATTTGAAAAAGTTTGTTGATCGTAATGATCTGGGCTGGTATACATCTGGGGAGGAGAAGTTGATGCATGAGGAAACAATAGCTAATAAGGTAAGTAGATAACAGGTGCCGTGTGCGAAATCCATTTCTACAGTTTTGTTTACATTCTCATCCGTCGCCGCCACCGGAAGTCACCGGTAGATCGTTGAAAAAGTGTCAGGAGTGGTCTTTCGGACGAAGTAGGCAATCAGGTTTGGTTCAGGTTGAAGGATTAGGATATTCTTACCATACACACCAAGAAAGTTCAGCTAAATTACTAAATGAATGATGAAAACAATTAATTTTGCTCGTGAGCTTTTCGGAAGACAGTCTTACACCGCGCATGCGCAACACTCATTCTACATGATACTGCTTAACAATCAATTTTGATAAGGACTAGCAGGCCAGTTAAGAAAGTTGTTTATTTTTTGTTTTGTTGATAATACCAATTTCACATTTATTTCAGGAATTAGAGGACAACAAATGTAATAAACAGCGAGTACAAAGTGCAGCAGAGATTCTGAAAGAGCAGCAATATAATAAGATTCAGAAACAGTCAACTGCTAAACATGAAACAGCAAAACCTGTGAATAAGGTAATGACAAACCAGCTCTGAAAAATAAAAGATGTTCAAATAGACATTAAAATCATTCAGTTTTTCTTGCTTGTATGATTCAGGCTTCAATTTTTCAGTACTTTAAGTTTTCAATAAACCTTTTGGTTCGTTAGATATTTCATTGTGTCTTGATAACTTTGTGGATCTATGCTTTAAAGCAGGGTCTTTCAAATCAGGGCATTTTTTGTCAAAATTGTGAAGGGACCTGGGCCTGTTCTTTTTGTGAAAAAAGGGCGATATATGTCATAAAATTGTGAAAAAGAAATGACATATAACTTGGCATTTCACCACATTTTGAAACTGGAAACGGTTGATTATAATTTCTGACCTGTGTAAAATCTGCTTCCATTCATACATTAACCAGGTTAACATGAGCAAATACCATTTAAATGATTAAAACTATTTCTGTGTTATTGCAATTCGTGTAAATCAAGTTTTACCGCAAGGTAAACAATGTATTTCGAAACAAAGTCCCAATATTTTGTGAAATCTCTTTTGAAATTGTGAATTTTTATCTGCTATTTTGTGAAAAAGAGTGCAATTTTGAATTGTGAAGGGGCCTTATACCAACCCCTGTTATAGAAGGAAAAAATGCCCTGCAAATTGAATGGTCTGAAGTTGCACCAATTTTCTTGAACACTTACCTAATTTGGGAGTAGCAAGCTATACATGTACCTAGTTCTGCCGAGACATGTTTAATTGTAGCAAGAAGGGTTTACATAGCGCGTTTCCAGACCATTCTATATCAAAGACCCTGAACATTGTTGTGGCAACATGGCCGGGTGGTTAACCAACGGACTAGTAATCTAATGATCACTAGCCTTATGGGTTCAATCCCTGTCAGGGGCAAGTCGTTGTTTTCTTGAGCAAGAAACTTTACACTCATTGCTCAGTACTGGTTGGTTCCAGGAATGGATTTGAAAGTGTGTCTATAAGCTTATTGCTTCCTACACAATCGAACTAAAATAAATTCTGTATATAAACGGTTAAAACCAAAGACCCTGTTTAAAGTAGATTATCCAAATACAGTACAACCTCTGCAGAGCAACACCCAATTGGACACAAATTATATTATGATATGGTTGTTGCTGAGAGGAGTTGCTCTATAGAGGTGTTACTGTAAAAGGTTCAATCTATTGTGCAGTCTTACTTTGATGTCATGAAGGAAAGTGCATAAATTGATGATGTCATAAAGGAAAGTGCATTAATTGATGATGTCATGAAGGAAAGTGCATAAATTGATGATGTCATGAAGGAAAGTGCATAAATTGATGATGTCAATCATGAAGGAAAGTGCATAAATTGATGATGTCATAAAGAAAAATGCATAAAATGAAAAAAAAAAAAGTAGTTTTACATGACTGTAACATGATCTGATACACAAGTTGTTTCATTTTGACCAATAAGTATTGCTTCACATAAATATAATTATTAGTGTGTAGTCTGTGAAATATATTTTGATGTTGCATTAAAACAAAATCAAAACAAAATTAAGATCCTCTTATCTTCTTATCTTGTATTTATTGCAGTTTGTAAGGGAAATCACTGAGGTTTTTTGACATGAAAAAATTGAAAATGTTTTTTTCCAGATTTGTGTACCATATGAAGCAAAAATATGTGCAAAATTTCCCCAAAATGTCCCTGTTTATTCAGAATATTTATTTTCATTACATGAATAACCCAAACTTGAAAAACATTTAAATGTTTTGAATTATAAAAAATGTTGTAAATCAAACAAAAACTGATTTTCAATTAAATTTGATCCGCGAATATTTCTTCTTCATTTTTTGTGGGCTTTTTTTTCATTTTTAGTGTACAAATTGATCAATGTCAAAAAAATCAAATATTTTTGCTTTTAAGCTTTTGGACTTACACTTCACTTCTTTATAAAGTTGTTCTATTAGTATAATAACTGTAAAAAGGTTTGGTTAATAAATTTCTTATGTATGCATTTGTAATGTCTTATAAACCAGTATTTGATTCTAAAGAATTTACACATTTGATATAAACTTACCTTTCACTTAAAGATGTTTTTTCTCATTTTCCATGCCTTGATAGTTTTATGGATTTCAATTTTGTATGTTTTTTTTTCTTCAGCAAGATGTATTACCAGATGACAAAAATACCAAAGAGAATGAGGTGTCACCATTCTTGCCTGTGGATTGGTCCTTGAAGACCAAACTAAGAGTCGTGTCAAGTCGACCTTTACATTGGTGCACTCAGTTGAAATCAGCAGACGAAGCATTTGGAACCGAACATTTTGTAAGGAATACGGACATATCAGTAAGTCTTAATATTAGCCTCAATTATGAATCCAGTTAATTAAATATAGCATTATGGAATCTGATTATTGAAAAGCCATTGTTAATGATTGATTTGTAAGGTTTTCAGTCGCATCCTATAGTAGATCTGTGGGCTGCAGTTCTAGATGTCACAAATATATAACAAGGATCATTTTGTTTTTTAGTATTGAGCACTAGAATAAATGCTTATATTTTTGATGAATAGCATATATATATAGTTCTGCATATTTTCAAAGAGATATGCTGATTCAGACTTAATTGATATTTTTAGCTCACCTACAAACACTGTGTCCAGAACCCTTGGCTTTAAGATCACCTTACGTCCATCATCCTTCATAGTAGAATCTAAAATTTTGTTTAACATCATCTTGTGACTCTGGTAAAAAATTAACTATCCCTTGGTAACTTTATGTCTTCTGTTCTGTTAACTGTCAGTCTTACAAGAGCATTTTAGACCTGAATGGTTCTTTTTGTTATCATAAAATACACGTCAGTGTCAGGGGTTCTGCTAGCCATCCTGAGTGTCATTTAAAAATGATTTTGACCTTTGCCAATTACAAGGTCAAATCCCCTTATTTTATCAAAATTTGACCCTCCAGTTAAAATTCTATGGGTCAAATCAGGCCTTTTGGAAATTTGAAGAGTCAATGAGTCATTTCAAGAGTCTATACACCCTGACATTGTAAAAATTAGGTGATACCACATCAAATACCTCCAATGTCATGTGTTGTTTTTCATTTTTCAGGTTGATTCATCTGTTAATGATAAAAGACAATTTCATAGCTGTTGTATGTATTGGATACATCCTAATATACCCTGGATGAAACTCTTTCCTAGAATTGTGGATGATGGGAAATCTAGGTGCGTGTCTCAAGTTTTTAAAAATACCTCTAGTTTGGGATAATTCATTAATTCCATGAGTTTTTAGAGCTTTCATTGATTCAGTGCAAAGCAAATCAACAGTATATCGATATCAAACAACAAATATTGATGATACACCAATCTATTGATAATTACTTACTTTAAGTATTAATTACTTATCTGTAATTCTTTTTCATGCCTGTTTAAAAGATTTCAGTAAAAAGAATGTTCTTTCCATGTTTATAAATGCCCATTTTGTCATCACTGCTATGAAATATTCTTCTGCATATGTTTTGGTTGAATTTGTCATAATTTCTAGACATTCAATTTTAAGTCAACATTATTGATTTTCTTATATGTGTATCGATTATTGATCGACAGAAAAATATCAACAATATTATTGATATCCTTTCTATCGATGAAAGCTCTATGAATTTTAAGAATTTTCTCATTTTGGATTATGTGATAGAGGGTTAACGCACCTGCACCTTTTTCATGCATTAACATTTGTCGAAGCTTCAGGATGAATTAAAAGCCTGAGCCGGCAACAACAGCATGTGATCATGTTTTCTTCTCCATTAATGTATAACTGCATGTGCAGATTTTATGCAAGAATATCCGATATGTTTTATGCAAGAATATGCTTTATGTTTTTATGCAAGAACATTCTTAAAAAAATATATATTTAAACATTAAATGCAAAATAATGCATAAAATGTAAAAAGTTCTGGGTTTTTTTTCATATATATGTATATGTATGAGATATTGATAGTTGCCCCAATTAACTTTTGACCAACATGGTAGAGCAATAGCACCTTAATTCGACATACCCATTAATTCGACACCTTTTTAGCTCACCTGAGCACGAAGTGCTCAAAGGTGAGCTTTTGTCATCACTCTGCGTCCGTCGTGCGTCCTTCAAAAAATGGCGTCAAACTTTTCAAACAACATCTCCTCCTAAACTACATGGCCAATTGCAACCAAACTTTACAGAAATGATCCTTAGGTGGACCCCTTTCAAAGTTGTTCAAAAATTTAAATTCCATTAAAAACTCTGGTTGCCATGGCAACCAATAAGAAAAACTTAAAAAATCTTCTTCTAAAAAACCGTAAGAGCTAGAGCTTAGATATTTGGCATGAAACATCTTCTAATGAGTGCCTACCAAGTTTGTTCAAATCAAAGCCCTAGGGTCAAAATTGGCCCCGCCCCAGGGGGTCATTGATTTTCCCTATATGCATATAGTAAAAACTTAAAAAATCTTCTTTTAAAGAACTCAAAGAGCTAGAGCTAAGATATTTAGCATGAAACATGTTCTAATGGGTGTCTACCAAGTTTGTTCAAATAAAAGCCCTGGGGTCAAAATTGGCTCCCGCCCCGGGGGTCATTGATTTTCCTTATATGTGTATAGCAAAAACTTAAAAAATCTTCTTTAAAAAAAACCCAAATAGCTGGAGTTTAGCTATTAAGCATGAAACATCTTCTAGTGAGTGTCTACAAAGTTTGTTCAAATCAAAGCCCTGGGGTCAAAATTGGCCCCGCCCCGGGGTCATTGATTTTCCTTATATGACTGTGTATAGCAAAAACTTAAAAATCTTCTTTGAAAAAACCCAGATAGCTAGTGTTTAGATATAAAGCATGAAACATCTTCTAGTGAGTGTCTACCAAGTTTGTTCAAATAAAAGCCCTAGGGTCAAAATTGGCCCCGCCCCAGGGTGTCTTTGATTTTCCCTATATGCATATAGTTAAAACTTAAAAAAATCTTCTTTTAAAGAACCCAAAGAGCTAGAGCTAAGATATTTAGCATGAAACATCTTCTAATGAGTGTCTACAAAGTTTGTTCAAATAAAAGCCCTAGGGTCAAAATTGGCCCTGCCCCCAGGGGTCATTGATTTTCCCTATGTGCATATAGTAAAAACTTAAAAAAATCTTCTTTTAAAGAAACTCAAAGAGCTAGAGCTAAGATATTTAGCATGAAACATGTTCTTATGGGTGTCTACCAAGTTTGTTCAAATAAAAGCCCTGGGGTCAAAATTGGCCCGCCCCGGGGGTCATTCATTAGCTTGACTTTTTTTTTTTTTAGATATATACATATTATATATATACACATATATATTTAATAATATATATATATATATATATATATATAAATATATATATATATATATATATAAATGTATATATATATATATATATATATATATATATATATATATATATATATGTATGTATACGTATGTATGTATATATATATATATATATATATATATATATATATATATATATATATATATACAGTCACATTCCTCCATTTACGGGGCATCGGTCTATTTGAGACCATACTTGTGGGGTTTATATTTAATGTGGGGCATACATAAGGCCTCGCAACTCTGGCATGTTTAAAACGATGTATGGGGGCGTAGGCTACCCTTCTAACATAGTGCCCGTAGGCCGGTTTTAGTAGTAAATGATATATGTCCCACAAATGTATATATTTTTAATGGGGTTTTATGTTATTGGTCAATATGTTTTCACCTATGGTAAAATTAAATATATAGTTGATATATATAACTTAGTACCCCTTAGTTCTGTTGTTTGGAAATGTCATTATATGCCTACATAGTGGCATATATAAAAACTGACTGCATGAAATAATGCCACTCAACTCGGTCTTATAAATAGGCCCCGTAAGTGAAGATATGTGTGAATATATATATATATATATATATATATATATATATACATGCATACATATACAACCAAGTTTGTTCAAATAAAAGCCCTGGGGTTTAAACTGGCCCCGCTCCAGGGGCCTATATACAGGTGAGCGACTTTGGGCCATCATGGCCCTCTTGTTTTACAAACATCATGAAATCCCAGAATTATGCGTTTTAACTGATATTTTGATCGATATTTACGTTCATCATTCATTTGATGACGTCATGAATAAAATTCAGACCACATAAGCACTGATTTCGCTGACATTGGTTACTACAAAAGTGTGGCTCGAAAATTCGAACATTAAAAAGTCGCTTCTTAGGGAAACATGTAAGAGGTCGACCTATGTAACAGTAAAACTACTATTTATTTTTTGTCAAGTTATGCTATTGTTAACATTTTAAACACAATTATTGAAGTTGTTCTTCAAACTGGACCTTCAACAGCTTGTCTAGAGTTCTATTTCCAGCCAAGGCGTGAGTGTCGAACTTAGGAACCAAATTGAAAAGTATGTTTGTTATTTCGACACATGTGACTGAATCAATCCAATTTAGAACTAACTTAATCAAACTGACCAAATATGGCAATCCATGCACGTATATTGTATTTGGCTGTGGACGAATAAGTATTAATTATAGTATATAAATGTTACTCCGTTAACAATGTTTGTTATTGAGGAAATTTGAGGTATTAGATACCGCAAATAAATTCTCATGTAGAAAAATACATTTCATTAGTAACATGTAATGGTAATGTTTCGTGATGCTGTAGGTATACAATGTTTTTGGTTTAAATGAACTTCAGCAATAGGTATATTAGTGTTTTACAGTTTAAATTACATATTTATGCTAATTGTGTACACATGTCATGTGAAGCTAATGAAAAGAAATATTGCAGATGTTCGCCATCTAAGTTGATCAACACTATTTCTATATATGGTTCAAAGTGGTGTAATACATGTAATATAAAAGAAGATAAAAACAGCAATGATATTTGGCATCCTGACTGATAAGTGGAAATGCACCAACTAGGTGCGTGCTGACTGTTACAGTACATGTTACCCGCTTATCTGTTATAAAGTAAAGATTACAAGTCTAAGATCATTATGTATGGAAGAAAAATACATGTACTTTTAGGAGACTATTTACCTAGAAAAGAAACATTTGCCGGTATTGGTTAACTAAAAAACCGGTAGGCTACACGCTACACCGGCTCCCTTAGTAAGTGACAGACTTGCTTTGACTTTGGGCCATTAGAGATATAATCAATGGTGAGTATGAACTCTACCAATTATGTTTCAGAGAAGACTGATGATTTAAACTAAGAACTAATCTAAAAAACAGGAAATGTTTCCGCTATAAAGCCTGTCCGTGGTACATAATGTGCACTGCTGACTGTAATTGGAAATCCCCGCTTCAAAGATTAATAATTAACCTTTTTCTCTATAATCAAATTATGTGTGTAAGACATACAAAAATGTATCTACACAAGTCATGCACATTTTTACTAATTCAAGAGATGAACTGATCGTGTTTTTATTACAATATTCTGTCATAATCATGTTTGGCTCGTACAGTGTTATTAATAGTGTTGGAATTCATTTTATTAGTATATTATTTGAACTTTTAATGTATTTCTTAAACCTTAATTAGGGTGTCGAATTTAGGATCACCATGTCGAAATACCGGACCCTCAACGGACAAAGCTTATACTATCATTACATGGAAAACCTTAGATGCTACGTAAGAAGTAGTGTTTGAAAAGGGCGCGAAAATGTCGGATACTGTAAAGTGCGGTGTCGAAATAAGGATAAACATAAAAATGTTAAATTGTAACGAAAATTTATCGTAAGGTGTCGAAATATGGGTACATTACTCTATTTTATTTAGCCAATTTTTGTTGATTCACTGTTAAATCTGAATAAAAATTAATAAATATTTGAAGGATAACACCCCAGTGATTGGTTACCAATAGATTAATTTTATATACATGTATTTTCAGTTTACAAGCCTCATATCTCCTACAGGAAGATGTTCAAAAAAGCTTACAGGCAGACTGGTATGTTTGTTTGAAAATTGTGATTCTTAACCAGTCAGGAAATTTGTCTTCTGCTCTCAGTGGCGTCTGCTTTGTGTTTAGATTTCACCACATAGTCTCAAAATTCACAAAAGATATACCCTGATATTCAAGCAGCTTGGAACATGCCAAGGGGCGTCCATGGGCGAGTGTTGTTAAGGTTGTTGACTTAGAACCGTTTGCCTCTCACCACTGTAGGTTTGAGCTGCGTAAGCATCGTCAGATTCTATATGTGACAGAGCTATCCAGCTAGCTTACATAACATCCATGGTTCTACTCAGGTGCCTGTTTGTGCCTAAAATAATGCAAGGAAGGGCACCTGAGGTCTTTCTACCAGTAAAGCTGCAAAGAGGCCATATGACAAAAAAGAAGGGAACGCTTTTCACTCAAATCAAGCTAGGAATTGCACAAAATATGATTTTTAATTTATTTCTGATTATATTTTCTTAAATTTTCTTTTGTGTATTTTTCTATTTAATGTGCACCAGCTAATTTATGTAAGATATTCAAATTGCATGTTTGTAGGCCTTTGGACCCCATTGGAGTTCTTCCTTTAATAGGTTAAGTTTAATATCAAAACTCAGGATATAAGGCATACTTTGTCTAATAACCTTATTCTCTCTCTCCAATTGACTGTCACAGAAGTCTCGATTGTGTATTATTAAAGATTTGTTTCGAAATTCCGATCTGTGATATTATAATTATACTTTCATGTTTATCAATTGTGCTGTACCATTACTTGTGTATTGATTTAGTTTGAAAAAAAAAATGTTATTTAATTTATTTTCTGTTCATGTTTGTCTTTAAACAGGGAACAAAGTTTTACGTCTGCCTACCATCATTTGAGATCTGGACTGTGTCCTTATTTCTACCTATGCACCCATCAGTTTACAGTGCTGTTTTACAATAGATCAGAGACGCAGTCTGGTATTGTAGCTATGGTGACACCCACAACAAGGGGATTCAGAGAACTGCTTGAAAATGAAGGTAATTTGTGTGAATAGTGATTTTTTTTATCAGAAATAAGGGCAGGAGCACAATAAAGGGGCAGGGTGGAAAATATTCTGTTATTCTTGCATAACAAACAGGATTATCTACTGTTTACACCCATGTAAGACAAGTAGCGTGTTTTTAATGTTGTCATTCCCACATGCTTTTTATGAATGAATTGCGTATAGGATGACGTCAGTGTGTTGTTAAGAATGAAGTTGCCAATTCATACGCTACTATAAGAAAAAAGTGCTAAATGAAAATATCAGTTTCGTAATTTCTTTTGATAATATCATTAAATTGTAACATGCAAGAAAAGAATCAAACACCGGGTGTCGTCACACAGACAGGAATATCTAGCTCTCGGGTAACTGTCAGCGGAAACTCGGCAGAGGGTCGTTACTGCCATAAATAGTTTCTATTGAGCTAGATATTCCGGTCTGTACCGGCAGCCAGTGTAAGATTCTTATAGAATTTAACATCAATTCTAAAATATAGTTTTTGTTGTAGTTGTTTTTTTTTTTATTTTTGTTTTTTTGTCAACCATGTTAAAATAATGATGCAGTCACTGCAGAACAGCCATCTTTAGAATAATAACCTTTTGACAACAAACAAAGTTATCAGTTTTACCAAATAATAAGAATTTTTCAGGAAATGAATAACCTCCACAGCAGCACATCTCAGAAACAACAAAAAATCTCATTTTAATGAATTAGTCCAGCTGATATTTCTTGTTTTTGTTTTGATTCTTGTTTGTTTTGTTGTTGTTTGGTTTGTTCTTTTTTTGCTATATAGGAATTGAATTCAAGCTTCCAGTGGGGAACAAGTCACAGAGTCCCGATGGAAAACAGACTGTACCCAAGTCTTTAGATACAATTGAAGAAAATGCAGATAAGTAAGTTATTGTTTTGATTGTTTCAAATAAAAAACCTAGATAGATAATAGTGTAAATCTCACGTTTACCTTTTTAAAAACGAATGTTTTTATTAAAAAATTTTTTAAATTTGGAAGGGGGGTGGCTCTACCTTAAGGGTTTTTTTGTCTTAATTAAAGCAAAAACAAAGTCATTGGTCTCCAGGCTGGGGTTTAAAAATAAATTTTTTTCTGCATCCCCATCTCTGGGGGTTTAAAAACTCATCAGAGACTTTGGCTTCTTTAATGTGAGGAAGTTATCCAGGTAGCCTTCAGAAGCACAGTGTATTGGTTTGTGCCTGAAATAAAGCGCAAAGTTGCATCTTGATATCTGGAAAGTTGCCATACATTAATTATTACATTTACAGTGTTGATTTGATTGGAAACCCAACAAAACATTCAAAAGAGGGTGGTTCTAAAATTGGTCCTGAAATAAAACACAGAGAGGCACCAGCTGTATTTCTCAACCATTTGACAAGAAACTTTGCTGGAAAATGGAATCCAATGATGAATCCCAAGAAAAAAGGATGTCCTGTTTGAAGAAAACAACAATGCTGCTGAGGATTTTGTAACTTAACTCCCCTTTACCCTTCCGTAATTGCCAATCTGATTATATACTTACAAAAGATAATGTTATATAGCTTATATATGTATGCTTTTATTGTTGTTACTTGTTGTTATTGTTGATGTTACAGTCATGAAGACATTGATGACGACCCTGATGATATACTAGATGCTGATGATGCTGCACATGGCTGGCTTGAGAGTATGGGACTCGATAAAAAACAGTTTCCCTCCCTCGATCCAAACAAGGTTAAACTGTATCCTTTACCTAAATCTCGGTGGCTGAGTGGTCACTGTTGAAGACATTGTAAACAGTTGCCACTCACAAGTGGGTGTTTGATACCAAACAGGGACTATGAATTCTTTAATGTGAGGAAGTAAGCCATCTAGCTGTTGGAACGTTGTGGGTTCTACTTGTGTGCCTGCTCACAATTGACAAAATGCATGGTCAGCACTTTAGGTCTTCATCCACCTGTAAAACCGACAAGCAGCCATCATGACCTTTACTATGTTACCTTTCATCAGCTGAATTTCTTTAATTGACTTTTCCAACTTTCACCTTTGAACTGTCCATAATCATAAGTTTAGTACATATTCTGAAAACAAAGTGTATTGAAAGGAAAAACATCCAAAGACAAGATATAACATAAATAAAGTCATTTTCTTCCCATTACTAGTAGTATATTGAAGTATATAACTTGAATAACCTGTAAAATCTCGGACTGTTTGATGTTTGAGCACATGAACGTGAAAGATATTGCATTACATATATTTATTTTTTTTTGGTCAAGCTATAAAGAAGTTGCTGTTTAGGTAAAAAAAAATACCTTGGAAAGTTAACCGATTTACTTGCTAGAACGGTTGAACCGAAAGTGATTAGCCTTTGCCAATAATTAGCCTTTACCATAGGTATAGAGCCAGGATAGCCTACACATCAATACAGTTTGACCTGGCTCTCTATATATTGGCTGAATATCTTCAAATTTTTATCTTGGTATTCCCAAAATGTACAATAGTTCCCAACATTGAAGGGGGACAAGTCTATAAAAGAAATTCAGCAGGTGAAAAGTAACAGGTTTGAAGTGCTTACTCTTATGTATGAGTGTTAATAGAATATCTTTTGACATTGATTACCAATTTTCTCCCGTTATATGATATTGAACAAGTTGAAAACTGACTTTTTATCTTACCAGTAAGTACAATAACCTAGAATATTATATACATTGTGTATGTGTTGTTTTCTTTTCCTTGACATATGTTAAAGCCAGCGTGAAGGTTTCCGAGTGATTGATCACAGGCCTGAGTCACTAGTAATGGTGGAAGGATCAGACGTACAGGCGCTTTTTAACTTTCTGCTCAACTGTCGTACTTGTGTGGCCATGAGTGGAACACAAGCAGGACTTCCCCCAACAATACTTAGCCCAGCACCTTTCAAAGGAGCAACACTGAAGTCTCACAAGGTATTTTATTAACAAAATATAAGAACCAGAAAGGTTCAAACCCGGTATATCTTAATTAAAATCAGTGTTGACATGTGGTTTCTTTGTATTCTTCTTTTTCGACCAAATTTTTAGTCAGTTTTGAGACATATTTCTTTGCAGCCTATCCAAAGAAAACACTTTCCTTAAAACTCAAGAACATTCCAGAATGGGAGACAATTCTTACTAAGCTACTTTCTACTATAATTGGGAAAAATCAAAGTTGTATGAATATACCGCTCAGAAAGTGACATCAACATGTCCTGCAATGAAATAGTTCAAAGAAATTTGATATATTATTATTATATCAAGAAAATGTTATTTCCTTGATAGGTTTTTGTTTTATCAAGAAAATGTTATTTCCTTGATATATTATTGTAATATCAAGTGAATGTTATTTCCTTGATATATTATTGTAATATCAAGTAAATGTCATTTCCTTGATATATTATTGTTGTATCAAGTAAATGTTATTTCCTTGATATATTATTATTATACCAATAAAAAACTTGTTCCTTTTGAAGACATTTTATCAGATAAGACCATTTTTAGTGGTTAAAGTCACTGACTGTTCCTCACTATTGGTTCAAATCCCACTTGAGACTTTGAATACATGTACTTTTATTTGATCAAGCTATCAAGACAAAACCATTTATAAATATTTTATGTAAAATTTCAAAATACAGTAAGTACTGACTGAATAGCAAGCAGTGTTGACAACCATATTTGTCTGCACTACCATTATGGGTAAAGGTTAATGATTTGCATCAGACTTTGAAAATAATTTTGTTGAGTTGGTTGCTTTATGTTATATTTATGGCAATATTCAATTTTTCAATTCAAATAACTTTATTTGTGTTTAAAGTAAAATACATAGTATACATACAACAATTTTGTAATATGGTTGTGTCACCTTAACAATGTTTATAAATGTGAACAAAGACTAATTGTTTATATTATCCATTAAAACATATACATAAAACATAAGTTTCCTTAATGTGATTGTATCAAGTGTACTTATTAATACATTAAAGTCATGTAGTTCTTTTCCGCCAAAATACCAATGAACAAATAATGATCACGGATGTGCTTGTATTTTTTACATATAAAGAAAGCATGGAACTCACAATCTATATTATCTTTACAAGTTGTACACAAACGTTCTTCCCTTGGGATATTATTATGTCTGCCTATTCCTATACCTAATTTGTGCTTGGAGCAATGAAAATTACAAATGCCTTGATAAATATAAGCAGGCTTTCATTGGCAAGGGAGGATATTCAGAACAGGTTGCTTAAAAAGTTGCCTCCCTTACTCCATTAAATGCCTTTTTATTATTTAAAAACTTTGAAGAATACACTTCATTATTTGCATATCTATTAAAAAACTAATTAAGTAAAAATTGGATGTGCAGAACAACATGTCAAAACACTGTTTCTGTAAGGAAAGAAGCAAGAAAAATCATTAATTTGTGTTGTAATGATTTGTTTTTTCATCTTAAAAAATGAAATGATGGAGGGAAAAATATGTAATCATGAATGATGATTTTTGCAATTGCACCAGAAGATAGCCTGGCCATCCTGCACATCTGTGCAGTTTTACTTGTCTCTACCCTGTAGGCTTATTAACTTTAATTTCCATCTGTAGATACTAACAAAATTGATAATGAGGGTCCCGAAATGGTACCTTGGCAAGTCCATGTAATAATTTCTGCAAGTTAATAATGGACAAGACAAAATAGGGCATATTAAACGAGTGTTGTTTCAATTCTAAGTTTGTTAAACGGTTGCTTAAAATTATATTACATGTATGCTGATAATGCAAGCCTTTGTGGTGCATTATATTTCTTTACACGAGTTCAATAAATTAAGTAATGAACTAATAAAGTATTCTTTTTATCACATATCCAAAATAAGAACAATTTTTATAGTAAAAACAATTTGTTTTTCATTTACATGCCTATAGTGTAAGATGCAAAGTGTGATTTGCGCTTTTTAAATTTATGCTGTTATTATAATACGAAAATTGACGTCATGTTGCATAGTTATGACACTAGTGTAATATCATTTTTATTTAATGCCTTTTTTACAATCTTTCTAATTCTAATATTGTTTCAGGTGAAGCACACTGCAGTCAAACAAAGTGACAGGGATGGTAATATAACTCAGGCACATATAGTCGAGGTGGCTGGTCCAATCCTACCTCAGCATTGCCAGAGACTCGTATCACTCCTGCATCGAACACAGAGTGCTGACTATGGAATGGTGTTTAACAACCATGACGTCACAATCCCGTTCAATGTTCTCAGTAAACTTGGTGATCAAAATGCTAAGACTAAGAAAGATGTTGGTGAAACAAGCACACTTCTAGAGCAAATAGATGAAGAAAGCTCTGACTCAAAGACTGAAAACTGTGATAATTCTGCGAAAAGAGATACAGGAAATTTCCATAAACTTATTCCCATTGACGGGGACCGTATTTGTGCTGTTAAAGAGATAGTGTGTACGTTAGAAGGATTTACTTGGACAAGTTAATATTTTGGAAAGTTTAAAAACATGAATGTTATTTTCATTTATATTGTTTATTGATGATTTTACAAAATAATATATTAATTTTTGTAAAGCTTTTCCCTTGTATAATGTTGCCCTTGTATAATGTTGGAATTGTTAAAATTTAGATAAATAACAATTCATGAAACATAAGGAAACGAATGTGTTCTAGTCATTGGTGTCTGGTTCCGCCCATCTTTAATTATTTGATTTGGACATAACCAATGCCTTTCAAATAGAAACCAGTGAGAGGTTGGTAAAACCAGATTCAGGTCATTACACACAATATTAACAAAAATGTGCATCGCTTTGATAAGATTATATACAACGATATACATGTAATAAAATTATCACAGCGGTGTATCATTTAATCATTGCAAGTAAGTTGTAAGGGGGTATACTGGAATCTCGTCCGTCAGGCGTCCGTCGGTTTTACCTTGTCAGCCCAATAACTTCAGAATCCTTTGACCCACAGTCTTCATATTTTGTATTGAGATTGGTCATGATCAGTAGATGACCTCTATTGATTTTGAGGTCAAAGATCAAGGTCAGAAGAGTTTTGACTTAAAAAAGCTTATCGGCCCAAAAACTTGAGAATCCTTTGACCCATAGTTTGCATATTTGTCATGGAGGTTGATCATGATAATTTAATGACCCCTATTGATTTTGAAGTCACTAGGTCAAGGTCACGGGCCTTTAGTTCGAAAAGCTTGTCTGCCCAATTGCTTAAGAATGCTTTGGTCAACAGTCTTCATATTTAGTATTGAGGTTGGTTATGACTATTAGATGACCCTATTGCTTTTTAGATGACTGTGTCAAAGGTCAAGGTCACAGGGGTTTTTACTACAAGCTTGTTTGCTCAAATGCTTAAGAATGCCTGTCCACTGTGTACTGATTTTGACATTTGAAGCATATAATTATGTTCTCATATATTCATCATAAAACAGCCCAGGCAAAGCAGCATGAATTGAGGGGTATTCAAGTCATGCAGTGGCAGTTTCAGTTTTGAGGTCAGTAGATCAAAGGTCACTTTGATCTTTGCCACTAAAAACATGTAGAATGCATTGGCTATCTACTCTCAGATTTGGCTGGGAGGCTGTCCTTGAGCTCTAAATGACCACAGTTGATTCTGACAAAGTGGTATGCGGGGGTATTCACGTCATGGCAGTTGCAGTCTAGTTTTTTGTTGAAGTAAGGACATTTGAATAAAGTAATATGCCATAAAGAACAAAACGCTATGATAAATTTTATGCACACGCGTACTTAACCGTTTACGGTAGAGAAATACATTGATTTTGTGCGCACATCGGTTCTTCATGGTATATATTCATCGGATAATTAAAAATGAAATAATCAGAATTCAAGAAATTTATTTCATTTTGCGTTATCGTAATAAATGTGATAAAATATGAAATACAAGACGACTTTGATGTATGTTTAGGACTTGGCTTTTTATGAAACTAATCAAACAGCGTGTTTTTTCAATTCTCCATGCTCCTATGATATTTATGTGACGTGTTATATAAAGGGGGCGCCGTTATTTCACAACAAATAAGTGGTATGCTTACGTAGAATTAAAACTCTCGATCTTTTCTTTGATAAACCCGGTTAATATTCAAACATATTCCGATAAGCCCGATGTCAGTGGCACATTAAATGTCTGTATTTAAAAAGTAAATACCAATCTGCTTTATGTAGGTTAGTTCAACTCTCTTTAAGATTTATGCCTACGTTTTTATAAATTAGCTTAAGACTATTAATCAATAGGTTTACCGTTTTCTAATTTATTTAAACATTAGAAATAGTCGGGTAAGACCATTGGGCGAGGTGTTCCGAATGTTTGTCTGAAATAAATATACGTTCAAGACCTGTTGTTAATGTGACGCATACAGTACGGGTTACAGCGTCACCATGTCCGTACGTAAATGTCGGTACATCATGACGTTCAAGTTATTTGTATTGTAAATTTTAGGTTCATTTGAATATGTAAATATTGCAAAACAAACGGGAGCCCTATCTCCTTCGTATGTTTGTATGTTATATACATTTTATTAGAATAAACAAAGCATTTAAGGTCAAATATTGTACAGGAGGGAGAGCTTTGTTTTGACTTTATCTGTAAACTTTACAAAACAGTTCATATTATGTTGACACACAATTCCGTATATCACAGACTGAAAGGTTGCGAGTTCGATACTTGATTCTGCCTCATAACAGACCAACTGGCTCTCTGCCTCATAACAGACCAACTGGCTCTCTGCCTCATAACACCATCTGGCTCTCTGCCTCATAAGAGAACAACTGGCTCTCTGCCTCATAACAGACCAACTGGCTCTGGGACGTCCGTGACCGAATGGTTAAGGTCGTTGACTTCAAACTACTTGCCCCTCACCGCTGTGGGTTCGAATCCCGACAGGGACTTTGGATTCTTTCATGTGAGGTAGCTATCCAGCTAGCTTACAGAACGTCGGTGGTTCTACTCAGGTGCCCGTTCGTGCCTGGAAAAATGCACGGAAGGGCACCTGAGGTCTTCCTCCACCAGTAAAGCTGTAACGTCGCGTTATGACCTATACTGTGTCGATGTGACGTAAAACTCAAAACAAACAAAACCAACTGGCTCTCTGCCTCATAACTGATCACATGGCTCTCTGCCTCATAACTGACCAACTGTCTCTCTGCCTTATAAAAGACCACCTGGCTCTCTGCCTCAAAACTGACCAACTGGCTCTCTGCCTCATTACATACCATCTGGCTCTCTGCCTCATAACAGAACAACTGGCTCTCTGCTCATAACATACCATCTGGCTCTCTGCCTCATAACAGAACAACTGGCTCTCTGCTCATAACAGAACAACTGGCTCTCTGCCTCACAACACCATCTGGCTCTCTGCCTATTAACAGAACAACTGGCTCTCTGCCTCATAACAGAACAACTGGCTCTCTGCTCATAACAGACCAACTGGCTCTCTGCCTCACAACACCATCTGGCTCTCTGCCTATTAACAGAACAACTGGCTCTCTGCCTCATAACAGAGCAACTGGCTCTCTGCCTCATAACAGGCAAACAGGCTCTCTGCATCATAACAGACCACCTGGCTCTCTGCCTCATAACACACCAACTAGCTCTCTGCCTCATAACAGACCCCCTATCTCTTAAATGTATAAAGTATGCAATACCAGCTTAATTCAAATCATTTTTTACTCCAAAAAGCGTTCCAGTATGCCAAAGTTTTTTTATTTGTATTGGTATATGTAAAGTTAATAAGCCTGAAATCTATAATCTATATGTAGGTCATACTTTTCGTGCTACAAGAGCCGTCTAAAAAGGCAGCACGTGGCAACAGTTATGAATTTTCGCGCTTGCGCAATCATGTTTTTTATGTCAACAGAAAGAGCGTTGACTGTTTTGTTATTTTGACTTGAAAATGCCATTTAATCATAGAAATCTCTCTTAATCAAGGTCTCTCCTACTCAATTCATTATGGAGACGCCGCTTATTTTATGGAAATGGCATTTGGGAATGCCACTTAGACAACAGAAATGCCGCTAAAATTATGAAATACCTCTCATTCCACCAAAATGTCAATCAAATCATTTACTTACGTCTGCAAGTAATGTCTTTGTGGCCGAGTGGTTAAGATGACCTTCAAAGTACTAGACCTTTACCGCTGTTGGTACGAATTCCAACAGATAACTTCAGATTCTTTCACGCGAGAAAGCTTTCTATCTAGCTTATAGACTGTCGGTGGTTATATTCAGGTGCCCGCTCGTGCCTGAAAGTAATGCTGGAAGAGCATAATCTTAGGCACGGATGTGCCGGCTGATTTCGGTATACATTAGTCGCGTGGGTAGCTTACTTAGCCGCCAGCATGGTTAGATTTAAAGATTAATGTATTAGTCTCTAATATATTCAAATATTAGGCTCCTCCTAGTCACCTTCTGTCATTTAATATCTGAATATGACACTAATGCTCGAGAAAGATGCAAAGCGAATAGCGGAACAGGTAGCTGAAATATTTTAAACAATAATCTACCCCCACCCCTCCCCCCTCCGCAATTTGTTACTGTTATTTCAGCCCATACTACTTAATTGTCAACTACTCTGTAAAAGTTAAGAAACTGATATAGTAAAACTGAATAAAAAGAATTTGCGACAATAAAGTGCCAGAGAAATCATGTACTCAAGTTAACTGGTGTTAAAAATCATTGATAATATAACAAGAAACCTTAAGAAAGCAATATGTTTACATCAGAATGTTTAAATCACTTGAGAGTCTAGCATGTGTTCTTTTCCTATTGTTTGATCGTCTATCTCTTCACACATTGTCAGATCAATATATTTACATGTTTGTCAGAAACATTTAAATAGATTTATACTCCTTTCTCGCCAGATATTGGGCTGTAAGTTTTGTAGTTATCTTACTTTAAAGAAGTGTCTTTAAATGGCTTGTCACTGTATTCTAATATCAGAAATTTTGAAAGCTGATACATATATTTCTGTTTTTCCCCGTAGATTGAAATAATAAGAAGATCAGAGGACGGCGCTGTAAATACTGTTTATGTCCTTAAATTTAAGTATGTAGGTAGATGACATCATATATGTTATGAGGGTATGCGGGACTTTATTCCGATCCAAATCGCAACATACAGCAAACTTCGTTACCGCCCTATGGGTAAGTACCCTCAAGAAGGCTGATCCGGTCCGATCCGCAGCATAAGACATGTGTTTTAATAAAGACTGTGCTTGTCTTTAAACGGGAAATTTCGGTAAATGAAGTTTTAAAATGATTCATATTTGTGACGTCATAAGTTTAGCATTGCGAGAAGTAAGAACGCCTGTAGTATGAGAAAAAGAAATTGTCAAACATCTATCCATGCAACAATACTAATCTACGAAAGCCTAATAGTGTCAAATGAAATAAAAAAATAAAAATGCAAAGGCGTTATAACGCGAATAAAGGCATTATTACGCGAATCAAAAGGCGTAAGAACGCGAATAAAGGCGTAGCAATGCGAATCAAAAGGCGTAATAACGCGAATAAAGGCGTAGCAACGCGAATAAAGGCGTTATAACGCGAATCAAAAGGCGTAATAACGCGAATAAAGGCGTTATTACGCGAATCAAAAGGCGTAGTAACGCCTTTATTCGCGTTATAAC